CCACAGTTTGGCTACCTTCTGGTGGTCAAGGAAGACAGATTTTTTAAAAGTCTTGTTTCTAGTCTCCTCTAGCAATAAAAATAATGCAATCAGAAACAATTTTTTTTTATTATCTTGCCATAGAGATGTGTTCAAATGTTCAGTTTTAAATGAATATAACCAAAGCCCATAATAAATTACTTAGCTGACTGAATGTGATAATTTGCAGAGAGAAACATCTTGGAGAATCATCTACCCCCATAGCTCTCTTTAACTTTAATGTATGTAGTTTCTGCTCAAGACACATTGGGTCTGAGTGGGTGAGTAAGGAGGGAATGTCTTCATTTCCCTAACATTCAGTTAGGGGTGGTCCAAATAAAAACACCCCTGTGCTTCAGTGTTATAGTCTTAGCCTCACTCAATCACCCATGTCCCCATGGTGTGGGGCTGTGGCCTAGGAGACAGAAATGGAACACATTTTGATTTGGACTTTAACTATGGCCTTTTTCTTTAGTCAGACAGCCAGCCCAGTAGGCCCTCAATTCTGCACTTCAGGTAAATTCCTGTTGTTAATTTTTTAATTCTGTCCATAATTTATGCTTTAATATGTTTATAAATTTTATTTCTGAAGTAATATACACATAATAACAGAAAACATAATACAGAGGAAATTCTTATCAATTATCAATAGCAATGTGTCCTACTCTAATCTTTCTAAACCCACTCCTGCTTCTCAGGGACAAATCTCTTATAGCTGTCTATTATTAGTTGTAGTTGTACTACTTTCTTTCCTTCCTTCCTCCCTTTCTGTTTTCATTTCTTTCTTTCTTCTCCCTTCCTTTTTTTCTTTCTCTTTTCCTGGAGTTCCTACTCCCAGAGTCTTCTATTCTCATGATCCAATATAGACAGCTTTTTATATTTGCCTCATAGCATTTATTCTGGGGCTTTCCTTTGCCATCTGGCTTTGTTAAGTTTCGTGTTTTTTAGATTCCTTCTCATTATCTTGACTTATTTTCTCATTTTGTTCCAGCTTAACTTTCAGTTTCTATTTAAGAAAGAGTTCATGGGAGGTAAATTTATGATATTTGTCTCCCCTCTGCACTGCTACACACACACACACACACACACACACACACACTCTCTCACAGAGAGACAGACACACACACACCCTGTTTTTTTTTTTTTTTTTTTGAGATGGAGTCTCGCTCTGTTACCTGGGCTGGAGTGCAGTGGCACGATCTCAGCTCACTGCAACCTCTGACTCCTGGTTTCAAGTGATTCTCCTGACTCAGCCTTCTGAGTAGCTGGGATTATAGGCGTACATAACCACGCCTGAATAATTTCTGTATTTTTCGTAGAAATGAGATTTCACCATGTTGGTCAGGCTGGTCTCGAACTCCTGACCTTGTGATCCACCCGCTTTGGCCTCTCAAAGTGCTGGGATTACAGGCGTGAGCCACCATGCCCAGCCACACTTCTTACGCTTAATTAATAGTTTACTATACAGTTCTACCTAGATTGTAATTTCCCCTAAGAATTTCCCAGGCATTGCTTCAATGTTTTCTTGTTTCTAGCAATGGTGAAGAGAAGTCTAGTATGATAGTTAGCAAAGAAGCACTAGGTAATCCTTTGTAAGAGACTTACCTTTTTCTTATCTCCAAACTTTTAAAAAAGATTTTTCTTTTTAAGCACAGTGTTCTGAAATGTTACATGCATATATTCATTTTTTCTATTCTTTTTGCTGGTGAATCACTTGAAACTGTCATCCTCAATTTTTTGGTTGCAGGACCATTTTATAGTCTTAAAAATTATTGAGATCCCTAAGAGTTTTTTAGATTTGGGTTATACATAACAATATTAGATATTAAACCTGATAAAATTTTTAAAAAAATATTTATTACAAATTCACTTAAACATTACAAAATAAACATTAAAGTTTGTATGTTATATTTTTAATGTTAATAATTATATTTTCTTAAAACAATTAGGAGAGTGGCAATGGTCTACATTTTGCAAATTTTCTGAATATCTTAATATAATATAGCTGAATTTTCATATCTGCTTCAGGAGATGTTGTGTGGGTTCATATATATGCCATTAGAATAGAGAGGATTATTTTAAAAGCTTTTTCAGATGATCGTGAACATTCTTCTTTTAAAACTACACCAAAACTCAACAAATGTTAGTTTCTTAAAGGTGAATAGCAAAGAGCATATCATTAAATTTTTATTTCCTCTCGTATATAATTTATTGGACTAATTTTCACTACAAATTAATCATTTACTATGCATGATTTTGACTTTGCTTGTGGTGTTAACTTGAAAAACATTGCTTCCTTCAGTTATGTATATCTTCCCAGTGTAGACATATTTCATTATACCATATTAAAAAAAAATACATTCATGAATATTGCCAGAAATCTCATTAGAAAAATTTTTAGGTATTAGGAAACTGTCAAACTTATGGTATTGATAGAAGTTTCCCAACACTCTAATCTTCATTTGAAAGCTTTAATTTTATCATTGAAAATAAATTATCTCAGTTTTCTTATATGACAGCTTTTTATATTTCATTCATTATTGAGTAAACATCTTTTCAATATTTAACTCTGAATAACCATAGTCTGTCAGTCATTCTTCAAAGATAAAATGATGTTCTATGAAAAAAGTAGCTAATTCTTTTTGCAGCTCAAGCAATCTCATAAGACATTCCCTCCAGACAATTGTATGTTGGTATGCAGCAGAAGGGCCTTACGCACTTTTCATTTTATGACACAATATTCAAATGTCATGTCCTAGCTTTAATAAAATTAATACTTTTTATTGATCAATTAAGGTAACTTTTAAGTAACACTGGCATTTTTTTTTTTTTTTTTTTTTTTTTTTTCCCCTGTGAGTGTATGGCAATAGTGAATTCAGTGATTCCTAGTACAGTTTAATGCTACTGGCTACTGGGTTTTTAAAACAAATATTCTACTTTTTTTTTTTTTTTTCCCTATCATTTTCTGAGGTTTCTTTGGTCTTTTTTCTCTATATTTTGGAAGGTTGCCTCCACCATATTTTCTGATGATTCTATTGAAAAATACTTTTTAGTAGATTTTTTAATCTCTAAAGACTCTTCTTTTGTAATTGCTCATTTTTTACAGCATCTTTTATCTTCTTGAGTGGCGTATGTACTAGAATCTCTTGCGTATGTTAATCAGATATTAGGTAATTTTAAAAAATAAGATTTTTTCTAAATTATTATTTGTGCACCTATGTTTATCTTAGTGTTTATTTTTCATTGTGCTAGTTTTTCCCATTGAGCTGGAGAGCCTTGATTTCCTATGATGTTTAACAAAGAAGGACAGTGTATCTTTCATGGATGTCTTTTACCTTTATGAGAGTAGAAGTCTTTTCACTTGGTATCTTCCTTGAGAGGAGCTCTGCAAGGCATTGGATACCGTAACTTGCAGGTTTATTTTAGGAGGGACCTGGGGGTCAGGATTTGATTCCCGTGAATGCCAGAATGAAGAGAACTGTGTTGCATGGCACCAGCTTTAATATTCAAAACCTCTTCACTGAGTATCTGACTACAGAGCTGTGGCTACTTATTTGAGACATTTTATCCGCTGTCAGCCCTCTGTGAACTAAGGGCAAAGAGCTAAGGAGATGGAGGTAGCATTACATATAAAAATATCTTTATTTCATTGCGCAAATAGAGTTAAATAACCTTATTTCAACTTCTAGGTAGATATTGATTTGTGGTCTCAATTTGTGGCTATTAATTCTTTTCTTATTGATAAGTCTACATCATTCAAATCCTTTTACATTATAACTTCATTTTAAATTCCCGCATTGCCTTAAATATTTTCAATGTTCTCATGGAGTCTTAGAAAGAACACACGTTTTGCAGATAGGGAGACCAAGTATGTAACTTTGATTAAGTTACTTAATCTTCATAGAGTCTCAGATTCTTTATAAAATGGAACGATAATAGTTTCCTTACAGTTTTGCTTTCACAATTTGAAATAATACAATATGAGGGGGAGAGCTCTATTTTTTTTTTTTTTTTTTATCCGTGGCACACTGTAGATTATCTGATATCAAATGAGCATTCAGTAAGTGGTAACTATAAATTAATACAGTTTTGGAGAAAGGGTCACTAGGAGAAATAGAGAAGGTTAAAAATTGTGAAGAGACCAGTAACGGAGAGCACAAATGATTAAAAGCTTACACGCTTTTGGCCGGCCGCAGTGGCCCACGCCTGTAATCCCAGCACTTTGGGAGGCCGAGGCAGGCGGATCACAAGGTCAGGAGATTGAGACCATCCTGGCTAACACAGTGAAACCCCGTCGCTACTAAAAATACAAAAAATTAGCCGGGCGAGGTGGCGGGCGCCTGTAGTCCCAGCTACTGGGGAGGCTGAGGCAGGAGAATGGCGTGAACCCACGAGGCGGAGCTTGCAGTGAGCTGAGATCTCGCCACTGCACTCCAGCCTGGGCGACAGAGCGAGACCCCATCTCAAAATAAATAAATAAATAAATAAAATAATAAAATAAAAATATAAACTTACACAGTTTTAATAAATAGAAGGTTGGAGAACAATGTATATTTTATAATTGTTGTTTAGCTATTTTGTTAGATTTTGCCATTTATTTACAAATACGTATAGTACAAAACTACATGATCATGTTTAAGTATGTAAATAATAAAAGCTGATTTTATATTAATTTTAAATATGTTTTTGTTTATATCTTTATACTTACATATTATGTAAAATGTAATATAAAAATATTATATATTCTTTTCTAAGAAAAAAAGTTAAATTGAAAAATCTAACTGTAGAGGAGGAGGAAAGTTTGAACAATAAAACGTCACTGGGAGCTGCATTTTTAAATGTAACAGTGATTTTACTGTTACCCTTAGAAACAGAGTTTGGAAATATAACAAAAGAAATCAGAAAGTATTATAGTTTACTATTTATTATTATTTAATAAGAAAATTATACTTTCCTTTAAATAATATCTTTTCTTTTACTAGATAAGAAACTGTGGTGGGCAGACCAAAACTTAGCTCAGCTGGGAACCTGCAGCAAAAGAGACGGAAGAAACCCCACCATCCTACGAAATAAAACATCCGGGGTAGTTCATATGAAAGTATATGATAAAGAAGCACAGCAAGGTAAGTCACACTAATGAATTTGTGCCAGGTTTTGAATACATAATGTGCTCTTTTTCATACTAGCTCCTCAATTCAACAATAGAAAGTTTCTATTCTTGCTTCTAATAAAAAAGAAAAAAGGAAAATGTTGCTTACTACTGTAGGAGAAATGCCTTTAACATAGGTGCATAATGAGCTTTGAAAGCATTAGCAAACCTGCCTTAGGAGTCTTAATTTGTCAGGTCTTCAAAGAGGTCTTATCCTGTTCTTGACTAAAAAAATACAAGAATAAGAAAATATAACCGGGCAAAATATATACAATGTATATTTAAGCCCAGAATCTGAATGAACTAGGGGCCTTCAAATGGACTACATCAACAAAAGAATTCCATATCCAAAAGCACTGCATTGTTTGGCTCTAAGCGTTCTGCATTTTTGTTTTTGCTTCTCCAAATTGTGTGCAGTGAAATGGAGTGAGAGAAATAACAGATGGTTTACATAGGTAGACTTGTCACACTGCCCAAGTGGCAATTGGATTAGAGCTGGCAGCCAGTACAGCCCCACATCTGCTAGTCCTTTCTTACTTTTTGCTTCATAATCCATGACATTAGCAGAATTCTCTTTCTTAAAACAACAACAACAAAAACAACCCCCCCCCCAAAAAAAAAGTGCTCTATTTTCATACATTAGTCTCTTCCATGAAAATCCTTAGCTTCACATACTTTTCTTAGGAAAAATTTTCCAGAATGATTTTGAACGCTGAGAAAGGGATTTTCATCTGAAGGATTTGGGGTATGTCGACCAACGCAGAGAAGAGTAGGGGAAAAATAGAAAACCAAGGAGACTGCTATTTCTGAAGATAGGTGGTGACCATCAAGCAAGCAGAATTTATTGGACATACCAATTGAGAGTGCTGTCTGCACATCAGGAGATAAAATAGAGATCAGATTAGGGTTTGCCTTCCCTGTGCAGGCAATGGGTCACATTGGTTTAGAATCTTTACTTGCCCCAGGCAGAAGAAAACATATTACTTATTCATAAAAATTAATAACTTTAGAAGAAAAAATTGCTTTAAACATTTATCTAAAGTATTTGTTGGGTTCCTTTCATTGTTGAGAATTTATGAACGTTTGTCAATTCATATATACAGAATGTACTTGCACCCAAGAGAATGAATATACATACATATACATACATGTATAACCTGAGAATGTGTATTGTACCCAAACGGTTAGCTATGTGTTCTCTGAATTTTTGGGGTCATGTCCACAATAATAAACAAGGATATTTTTCACTAGCAATTCAGTAATGAAATTTTTCTGTATCAAAATAATAATTATACTGACATTCAAGTCATGAGAAATAGATTATGTAATTGAGAATAAAATACTGCTACTCAGTAAATAAAACATTGAGGCGTTTTCTCAGATCTCCATAGAATATAATTATGTGTAAAAATTCACAGTACTATTGTAAATCTTAGTGCATAACACATATATATGAGACTGTATCTGAAAACATAACATTAGAAAATATGAGAGAGAGGGGGAGGGTATGCAAGAGAGTGAGAGAGAGAGAATTTCCAAACAAAGTATTTTAAAAAAATTACCCACTTTTCCAAACTGTGAACAAGCATATGCTTTGTTTTAAGCTGTAAATTAATATGTCAAATTTTCTAGATATAATTTCAATGAAGTTTGTAGGGGGAAACATTTAGTATATGATTCTCAGCGTACTTTACCCTTGTTAACAAGATTTTCCTCATCTTTTAAAGATTTGATTCTATAGGTATAATTGGGTGTTCTATGCTCTATGAAAGTATTGCCAAATGAACAAGGACCTCTAGCACTTAGAAATCAATGGTATAATATGAATAAAGTTAAAATTTAAGCAGTGAAAATACCACTTTTACTAGAATATGCTGATAAAGGCATCTGTATTAAAGACAATCCCATTAACAGAATTACTGCGGGTAGCGTAAAAGCTTCATTAGTATGAAATATGACCAATTTAGGACTCTTTAAGGTGTTAACATTACTACCTATTTGGATTTCAAAGTACAATTAGTGACTTAATATATCATTTTTGACAAAGATCACTGGAGAATTGAGACTTCTTGTTAGTCAAGTGTACTTTTTAGCTCCACTAGAGATTTGGGGCATGAGGTTTCAACATCCATATCATTATAAATTATTAAGCCAAGCTGGTATTTATAATTTGATAGATAAAAAAAATTAAAAATAAAACATAAATTTGTTACATAAATTATTACTTTTTAATTTTACTATATTTTTCTACTTTAAATTTAACAGAAAAAGACCCTTATTGTAAATAATAATTCATTTCATTATTTTTTACTTTTTCTCTGCTTCACTATTAATTTCTTCTTAGAGACTAAACAAAGGATACAGGAAATGTATATGGTTAGTGTTTAACATTAATTGTTGAAATATATTTTATTGTTTATCAAAAATATAGTTATCTCTATATATATCTGAATATTTATCTGAACTATTAAATATAATACTTATATATGGCTATTTTTGCAATTATATTAAAATATACAGCCCCAGACCCAGAAAGTCCTTTTTTTTCATGTATTTTTGCTATTATCAAGGCTATATAACCCCTCACATTCTTTTATTTATTTCTCTATTTTTTGAGATGGAGTCTCACTCTGTCACCCAGGCTGGTGTGCAGTGGCACCATGTTGGCTCACTGTAACTTTCATCTCCTGGGTTCAAGCAATTCTCCTGCCTCAGCCCCCTGAGTAGCTGGGATTACAGGTGCCCACTACCATGCCCGGCTAATTGTTTTTGGATTATTTTAGCAGAGACAGGGTTTCACCATGTTGGCCAGGCTGGTCTGGAACTCTTGACCCCAGGTGATCTGCCCACCTCAGCCTCTCAAAATATTGGAATTACAGGCTTGAGTCACTGTGCCAGGCCACATTCTCTTATTTTTAGTAGTTCGTTGTCTTTCCTAACTTATTTTTCTTTACTTGTTTTTTTTTTGTTGTTGTTGTTGTTGTTTTTTGTTTTGTTTTGTTTGTTTGTTTGTTTGTTTTAAGACAGAATCTCATTCTGTCACCCAGGCTGCAGTGCAGTGATATAATCTCTGCAACCTCTGCCTCCAGGGTTCCGCTATTCTCATGCCTCAGCCTCCCAAGTAGCTGATACAGGTGTAGCCACCATGCCCGGCCAAGTTTTGCTTTTTTAGTAGAGATGGGGTTTCAAGACAGGCTTGTCTCAGAACTCCTGGCCTCAAGTGATCTGCCCACCTTGACCTCCCAAAGTGCTGAGATGACAGGCATGAGTCACTGTGCCTAGCTTCTTCAATTCCCTTATTTTTCTTTCTCTCCAAATGTCCTTCACGCTTTATAGTTAAGTATCATCTGCCGATCTCTCCCCAGCCTTTCAGTCTTGGTAGTTGAAATACATCTGCATCTAAATACATCTCTCTAAAGATTGGCATTACATGAATATACCCATGCTTTCTACAAAATGAAATATGGAGATTGTCAATATAGAATTATAAATCTAGCCTGGGGGCAGTGACCCATGCCTGTAAAACCAGCACTTTGGGAGGCCCAGGTGGGCAGATCACTGGAGGTCAGGAGTTCAAGACCAGCCTGGCCAACATGGTGAAACTCCGTCTCCCCTAAAAACACAAAAATTAGCCAGGCGTATTGGCTGGTGCCTATAATCCCAGCTACTCGGGAGGCTGAGGCAGGAGAATTGCTTGAACCCAGGGAGCAGAGGTTACGATGAGCCAAGATTGCACTGCTGCACTTCAGCCTGGGCAACAGAGTGAGACTGTCTCAAAAAAAAAAAAAAATCTATAAATATAATTGTTTTGTTATTTGATAAATTAGAGAAATGAAATTTCATCTTAATGTTATACGTCAGTTTGGAAAAAATGTGGAGTGAATCAGTTATTTTTTATTAGTTTATATAGGATAAATGTAATCATTTCAAAAGTTCAGGGCCATTATGTGACCCTACATAAAATGGAGTTAATCAATGGCCGAACTGGCAGATACAGGACATGAGCAGCGAATGTGGTAGATCTCCTGATGAGAAATCTCCCAAGTTGAGAGTATTTCACACTTCAAAAATGACAGCCCTCATGACAGGTTCGATTGAACAATTAAATCCCATCAGACTATATTGAATTCAGAAGGAGAGAAATAATGAGCTGCATTGGTATTTTGAAATTTCCACAGAGAACTATTGATATAGAGCTTTCATCATGCTTTGTAATTCTCACTGGATTTATTGTACTTCATATCAGTGCTTGAACATCCAGTAAATGGCATTGCATGCTCTAGAATAATAAAAAAGCTGTAAAAATGGGATATTTAATGAACTTTCTTGGTAAGATTGTAAATTACTTAACTTCACACTGCCAGCATTAATTAGCACATTGACCTAGTAAATTCAGTGGATCATCTTCAGTAGGGATTCTAGAATGCCTACCTGTGATTACCTGGCTAATATTTGTCATTGGTACTATACAGAAATAAGAGGAATTAACATGCCAATTAATTAGATGACTCTTATGGTTGTGTTTTTCATACATTTTGGGAGAACTATGTTTCTATGAATGAGAAAATTTATTTCCTTGCTTTTAAAAATTAATTGAATACATATAAACATACATACCTCCTTTCTCTTAGATGCATAATCTTTGAGTGGTTAGTAATAATTTAACAGCTATTTATATGACACATTCGGATGAAATATTCTTGCAAAGGAAGTAATTGTAGAGTTGAAGTGAAATTTAAAAATCAAAAGAGAAAAAGATTCTGGTTTGTCTGATCTTAAAATATTACAAAGGTCTGTGAAAATATTTATGACAAATCAATTTCTTTTTGCTTTTCTGTAACTATTAATCTTCTGATGTATCTCTGTTGACTTTTTTGAAAGGGCAAATTCTCATAATTTGCTACTTTAAATTATTCAAGAAAATAAAATGTAATCCTAACCAATATGAAACAGCTGCATTTCAAAATCAATATCATACATATTTGTTAAATTATTGATATTAAAACTTTATTTTTTAAAATTTCATTAAAGGAATGTGTTTTGTTTTCATTCTATGCAGGCAGCAATTCTTGCCAACTAAACAATGGTGGATGCTCTCAACTTTGTTTACCCACATCTGAAACTACAAGGACGTGTATGTGCACAGTGGGATATTATCTCCAAAAGAACCGCATGTCATGTCAAGGTATGAGTTCATGGAAAACCTTACCTCTGGTTCATTTACTTCATTAGTCGTTACATACCATGCAGACTTTAGGCACCAAAGTCAGTTAAACATTAGAAAAAATATTAACCAGTTATTAGGAAATGGTATACTGTTTAGTCTCATATGTGTAAGATTTTAATATTTGAAATATTTAAAATATTGTTCTGCCTTATAAGACATTCTAATTTTTTAGTTATTTTTAACAACTGCAGTTTATTATCAAACCTTTAACCAAATCTAGTAGAAGCTACCTTCAACCTGAATAGGCAAAAGTTATAGTGAAAAGCAGTGCTTGATTGGCTGGAATTAATGTAGAATTTGAACTAAATAATGTTTACTTTAGACTATATTAGAGAAAGCACTAGAGAGAACGTGAGGTCTCAGGTTTGCATAACTGAGGGAGAAAAGCACTGTAAGAGAATTGGTATCTAAGAAATCTTGTTTTGCAGTCTCTACTTCTATTAGTCCCAAAGAACTTTGTTTCTAGGATGATCTTTTATATCTAATGATCATCACTTAATTTTATCTTTAAAAATGTTCCAATCTTATTTGAGAAATATATATGTATATTAATATTATCATTTATTTTATTTTAAATCCAATATTTATATGATACGTATTACATACATGGCTCTGTTCTAAGTACCTTAAACATATTAATTCACTTAATCTTCATAACCTCATGAGGTAGGTCTCTTATTCAGAAATGAGGAAACTGAGGTACAGAGAAATTAAGCAACTTAATCAGGTTACATGGATAGGAAGGAGCAGAAACAGATTTAATTCTAGGCATTCTAGTTTTAATAAGAAAAAATATATAAATATTTTCTAATATGTTGGCAAAATGCATAAGCTTTAGCGAGTGTACTTTTGGTAGTTAGCTTAATATTTATGTGCCTGTTTTAGGACAGGCTTCTGATGCTACAGAAGTGAGATATTAATAGCTAATTAAGCTATTGATGTATTCTTAGTATGACGAAGATTTATGAAGACTATCTTCATAAATTTCTTAATTTAAGAAATCTAAATGCCTATTAAAATATCAGTGATATAGTAATCTTAAATCAGGTTTATTATCATCTATAAGTAAAGAGATGTTTGGATTTTAAGGAAGAGGGAATAAATTTTGGTTGAGGGATGAGGTAGGCTTCTGCGAATAATCTAACTCAGTGCTTATGAAAGTGTGGGGCCCATACCAGCATCGCCAGCACCAACTGGAAGATTTTTAGAAATTTAAATGATCAGACTTCTGGGATGGTGCCCAGTAATTCATTTTAATAAATTCCTATTTTAATAAATCTTATGCATAAACAAATTTGAGAACTACAAATCTACCTACCTTTTATTAGTCAGGAACTGTGGTGCACAATAATTTTTAAAAAGGCTAGGAAATACATTTATTAACATAAATTAAGATTGTTAAAAATAATACAAATGAAATTATTTTTATTTTGAATATTCATCCTGGGCTTCCCTTCCCCTGCTTATCTCCTGCCCTGCATTTAGGTATAGAATCATTTCTTATGTACTCTGTTCATGAAGGAATCAGGGGAATACCTCTTGAACCAAGTGACAAAATGGATGCTTTGATGCCTATATCAGGAACTTCATTTGCCGTGGGAATAGATTTCCATGCAGGTAAATAGCTTTTTAGTCATAATTTATGCATAATGTATTCACTTGATTTATTAAACATGATGGGAATACAACATTTTCCTCTGTACTTTAACAGTTAAGGTGAGAAATAAGAAAACAGCAACTAGATAGATTTTAAAGCCAATCATAAATTGTTCTAAATATGTAATGTCTGAAAAACAATCAAGTAAAATTGTCCGAAAGTATAGCATTTGAATTGCAATTGCATTAACATACCATGATTGGCACTTGGTTGCTTACTTTTGTTTCTCTTTTTTATTTTGATACTTTACTTTTATCTAGTTATAAATATAAAGACATATAAAGCATGTTGACCTATTATATACTAAAATATAATCTTATTTAAAATATAATCAGGATGTGATTTTCTATTGTAATGAAGCAGTGGCAAATGAAATCCAAATAATAGAAACAATTATACATGCTAAACCATTGAAAATGATTGTTGAATATAGTATGTATCATTTGGAGTCAGATTTTACTTTACCTTCTTATATTTTAGCAAACAGTGAAAGAAAGCAACAGGAAGCAAAGTGGACACTAACATTTTGTTGCGGCTAATATGAACAAATGATTGGGAATTAATGGTAGATACTGTTGAATTTGCTGGAGTAAACAAGTTTTTTGGTGCTAATTGCTAAATTCTGACATAGCATAAATATTTGGTATTCACATTAAAATTCAGATTTACTACCTTCCACTTGAGGACTTAAACTTATAAAAAGAAATGCTAAATCGTATGTTTCCTGAATTAACGTTTCAGTGTTGAACATGTAAATGCATGTCCACAGTGTTTTTATCTGTGTAAAGACTTAATTTTATCTAGTGTTAAAACACAAATAGCTATTTGATTTATAATCTTAAAAAAAAAAAAAAAGAATCTTTGTAATCTTGCCCCAGCATGTGGGCTTCTGGTAGTTGCCTATTTTCCCTCAGCTCTAACACATTTTGTTTAATCATATATTAATAAAATTCTTAACTACAAGTTAGTGAATTACTGGGGATCTTTACAAATGGTTCAGAAAGGACTTTTCTTAAGCAGATTGTTTTGCACCAACCGTTTGGAATTGAATAGAGGCAAATTTTTAAAACCACCTTTACCAAAAGGAAATACAAAGAAGTATAACACATTTTATTAAGCAACATGTTAATTTTGCCAAAATCTCAGTGTGATTTTTGATCAGACTTTAATCAAATTCCATTATTGGTGGAAGACTAATTACCTCTACAATGAATAATCTACCTTGTCTGTTAGGTACATGCATTTTATTCATTAGAATTTTATTGTATAGGATTTGTTAAGTGCAAAACTAAGAAAACTTGAACTTGTAAAAGATCTTATGCATACAGTACATTCATATATTTTTACTAGGTACATAATCCTTTATTTCAGCTGGAGCATATATTCAATTATTTTGAATACTCCATAATGAGTTTTGTAAATATTTCATAAATTTCCATGAGGAAAAAATATTAATATAAGCAATTTGATCTAAATGTCCTGATAAGATCCTTAGTAAATCTTTCGCTTTTTAAGGGTAAATAGATAATTTGAATGAGTTGAATTCACTCTCCAAGGTTTATATTGGCCCTGAAATGGTTACATTTAATATCATGTACCATGATGGAGGATATTTTTATTTGCAGAGAATAGGACTTTCTGTTTCAAAATGCCCAATAATTGTTAATATCATAAACTTATTTCATGTCAAAGTGACTTTTCCTAAGGAGAAGTTACCTGTTTTAGTTAAAACTCTGTTCTTTACATTTTGCCTACCATATTTTTATTTCCTGGGGAAAAATTATTTTCAGAAAAGCTATTTCTTCTTCTAAATGTAAAGGGATGCAAGCATATGGAATAGTCATGTAGGTAGAATGTTCAAGAATCTATTAAAATCCCTACTGTTACTCAGAATACAGCAGTGAAAAAATTTCCTTAAAACCAAAGAAGGTTAGAGATCTACAGGCCAGGGAAGCATAGTTGGAAGAAACCAGAGTTTAGCCACAGACAACCTGGGGTTCTAATGCCAGCTCAACCACTACTAGCTTTGTGACCTTGGGTAAGTTACCTAATTTTTCTGAGGCTCTGTTTCCTTACTTTTTTGGGGTGTGGGCATGTTTAGATCAAAGTAAGCAAATGTTTAACAAAGTACTTGATATACGTTGGTGCTCAGAGAATGGTAACAAAAATATCAAATAAGTGGGAAGTAAAATATTGTAGAAATTATCATATATATATATATATATATTTTACAAAGATGCCCTGGAAGCTACATTTAAATTTCTAATTAGCTAGGATTTTGTTTTACTGTTCTCTCAACTAATATTATATATTCTATACAGTTATTTGAATAGAAAAATGGGTGTTTCTTCACTACTCTGGGGTGATAAACATAGGTTAAAAAAATCTTCCTGTTGAGAATAAACATCATCATCATCATCATCATCATCATCATCAGTCTGCAGAGCTGATGCTTAAAGATTAGACATCAGCAACTATTTACAATATTAAATGTCAATCGAAGAGGCTGGCATCCAGTGCTTAGACTGAACTAACTGAAACACTAATGAAGGTCATGATGGTGGTGGTGCTCTCTGGAGCTTTCTAATGCCTTTTTGCATGACTTTTGTTACTTCCATCTACTTTACAGTCTGATCCTTTATTAATTGTGTTTTATGAAAATATATTAGGATCAGAATAAGTGTCAGCAGCTTGATTTATAATATCTTTATAGTGATGATATACAAGCTCTGTGACTTCGTGGAGGGAAGTTACAGAGAGAGAGAAAGGAAAACCTGGATTGTTACTCAGAGAAAGAAAGAGAGAAAACAAACATTTTTTTTGTTGTGTCAATCTCTACTTATTAATCTTTTTTTTTTTTTAACTATGGCCTTCATGTTTCACCTGACTATAGGTTCTTTCTCGATTCATTTCTTTTGCAGATATTTTATTTCCTCTTCTTCCATTAATGACATTTACCCCAGGGACATAATCTCTACATTAGGATCAAAATGGAAAGGCACAGTTGCCTCTTATTCTAAACAAACAGCCCCAATCATACAAAGGAGATGCAGTGGAAGAGAATTATTTGCAAAGTACAAGTATCATAATTTAATAATACTATTTCATTACCATAATATTACAGAATGAATGTATTGTCAAAACCTGTGCATTTCATAAGAATTAACAGATCTGAATCTTTCTGGGTTTGGTCGTAATAAATTAAAGCTTTCTGCAATGAACAAGTTGTTTCTTCTACCAGATGAAGCAATTCTGGATACTCTCCACAGAAGTAAATAAGACACTGTGGCTAGATTTAAAATGTTCAAAGCATTTTTATCTCTTCACTGGAAAAGTCCCATTTCAGTGGAAAAAAAAAAAAATTGAGCTTTGAAAATCCTTGCCTGCTGAGTGATATTCCTCCTGATAAATGAATACTGCATTTGATGCTTTAACTAAAAGATATATTTTAGTTTGGAGAAAAGCCTTCAAAACAAAGCCCATTGCTCCACTTAGTTAAGTGATCTTCAGTAAGTAATGCTCTATTCCATTCAGTCCTCCCTCCCCTTGGACTACTTATGACTTTTCCTTAATAATGAAACGATAGGATGCTACTTGAAGAGGACATTCTACTCAGAGAATAATTATTCATCTGGAAAACTTCACACTTATATTCTTTTTTAATCTTTTATCTCTTTTATTCAAATTTAGGTCATCCAACTCAATGATGCAACAACTGTTGGTTACTATAATATCTACCAGGTTTAGAATTTCACATCTAAGTTGCTAGGGAAGATAAAGATAAACAAGGGCCCAGCTGTAACGGCTCATACCTGTAACCCTAGCACTTTGGGAGACAGAGGTGGGAAGATCACTTGAGTCCAAGAGTTTGAGACTAGCCTGGGCAATATAGTGAGACCCTGTCTCTATTAAAAGAAAAAAATAAACACAGAATAAGGGTCATTATTTGGATGTCACTGTCTGGCACTCACTATAGGAAATATTTTAATATTTTTTTACATCATCACATAGTGATCTGGCTGAGACAATAAAAACACTGAAGGAACATATCAGTATAGATTTATCTGAATCCATAGAATGTATAACACCAAGAGTGAACCCTAATGTTAGCGATAGATGATAATATAAACTATGGATGTGTTGGCTTAAATTCACCTCTGGCAAATGTATCACTCTAGTGTGAGATGTTGATAGTGGGCAAGGCTGTTTGGGTATGGGGGAAGGAATATGTGGAAACTCTACTTTCTAATCAATTTTGCTGTGAACCTAGAACTCTAAAAATTAAAACCTATTTAAAAAACACTAAAGGAGTATATGTGGCAAAATATCATTGCCACATTAATATAGTGAATGTCATCTATTTATATGAAAGAATCCCTCCTTAATAGTCCCACAACATTCACATTTATCTTTGAAACGTAGAACTAGAAGGAGTATTTGGCACCATTTATAGCACTGCCTCATGACACAGGTAAGGAAACTGGAACCCAAAGAGATCAAGGGGCCATATACTAACGGAGTATACTACTCCCAGTTCTTTCCACTGTGCCATCTTGCATTTGTAACCACTGAAGCAAAAGTTTATTTCGACCATTGTTGGCATCACTTGATGATGCTACATTGCACTTCTGCAAATTTGTGCTAGTAGAAGATCATGTATTATTTTGATTTATATACTGAATCATGTGATTTTTAAACCCATTTAATAATTGAAGCTAGTGACACTCAAATGAGTCTCTCTCTTTTTTTATTTTCTATGCCTGGAAGCTTATAAAAAGAAACTATTTACAAAAGTTTTCTAGTAACCACTTTGTCACCAACCAAGGCCACAGAAGAATTATAGAAAGAATTCTTTTTATGTCAGTAGCAGCAATAGTTTAAGAAATATAATATTGTTGCTTTGGGACATTTTTGCAGTTTTATGAAAACCATTTTCTTGGCTACAAAGTGAATTTTTAGG